ATGCGAAAACTGTCGCATATATTATTTTTTCATGGCATAACTGTTGCATTGCGAAGGTTATGCGAAAAATGGCCGCATAACTGTCGCATATTAATTGCATCTCTGTCGCATATTCATCGCACAATACCTTTGCACTTTAATTTTTTTCACCCCAGAAAGTGCGAAGGGAAATGCGAATATCTTCGCACTTTTAACTTTGGCACAATGTCATCGCGCAATTGTCGCATATTCGTCGCACAATGCCTTTTGCACTTTCTGGGGTGAAAATTTTAGCTTTTTATTAGACGGTGTGAAAAACTTAATATGACTTCAAGTGGAGTAAAAATAGTTATTTTCACAAAAAACAATTACCGAAAACGATGCAACTTTGAAATAGAACAAATTATTATTTTGTAATTAAAACCTAAAAGTGTGTGTAGGTATAAATAGTTATATATTGGGTAAATTGTAATTTTAGTTATGTATATTTCATTATCTTAACTTTTTCCTCCTCGTCGAATTGCGTTTTATATTTTCATAAATTTTGTAATTCCGTTTTTGTTGGGCCCTAACAATGTGAATTGTTCTCGAATATATGCTAATTGTGGAATCGTCAATGTTTTCGCAAGAGCCTGTTTTGCAGAACACAAGACACATAATCTTAGCTCGGACAAAAAAAAAAAAGACGAAATTGCATATAAAGACACCACCTTTACGGTTTTTGCAATTTAATCACCAGGTTATGCTGCTATTTGTGTTTAAAACACCACCTTTAATATGTATTGCAGATCAAAGCGTAAATTTAACTTCCATTAGATTAGAGCTGACTTGGCATAGACAAAAACAAGTCAGCTCTAATCTAGCGGAAGTTAAAGTTATGCTTCGATCTGCAAAACAGGTGGCGATTTAAGCGCAAATAGCAAAAGATGGTGATTAAATTACAAAAGCCTTAAAGGTGGTGCCTTTATATGCAATTTTTGCCGACAAAAAATGGACAAATGAAACTATTCTCCCAAATATTTGCATAGAAGAAGCTCGAAAAAGAAGTGACTCGAAAAAAACCAGCTTTCACATACCCCTAAAGCAGCTTTCCTAAGTGATGTCGAGCAAACATAAGCTTTCACAAGCTTACACATTAACATGTCCAAACAAATCTTCACGTCGTGATGACCAGCCAGCCATGGATGACCTATCGACCTAGCAATTTTTCATAAATTTCTTCACGAGTCAAATAATTAATCTATAGTTTTAGCTATACTGACATAGAGCTTGTGCTGCAGTTAGCCTTTTACGGTAATCCTTGTTCAACAATCTCTTCACAAAATCTATAGCATCTAAAGACAAAGATGGCCAAGGGGCTTCATCAAAGCTTGGTTCGGCCTTTAGAACATCCCGGAAGATTCCAGATTCTGTTCTCGACCAAAATGGTCTGCTCCCACAAAGTAATATGTAAGCAATTACACCAATACTCCACATGTCGGCCTCTGTCCCGTAAGACCTGTGAAGAACTTCAGGTGCCACATAATAAGCACTTCCCACAATATCGTTCAGCCTTTCATCTGTTAATGAAAAATCTAAATCATCAATTCGACTTGATCATAATAATGAAAATGAAAAATAAATGAAAAAAATCTGTTTTAGTAGTAATAGACTGAACCTGGCTTCACATAATCAGACAGTCCAAAGTCGATGGCCTTCAATTGGGAATGCTCGTCTTTCGAAGTAAAGAGAAAATTCTGAGCCAAATTTGAGATATGAAGATCAATAGGAGAATTATTACAAGAATGCTGCCAACATGGTAAGTTTAAATGAGATACATATACAACAATGTGTAAGCTCAGCACTTCAATCTTCAGTTCACTTCATATCACATCAATTTTTGATTAACTAATGTGATTGAGTCGTCATACAAAGAAAGTTCCGATTTTGATCCTTTCTTTATAAGGATCAATTTTACTTCATCATTAAGTTCAAATGAGGTACATATACAAAAATGTGCAAGCTCAGAACTTCAATATTCAGTTCACTTCAAATATACAATTAATTAATGTGATTGAGTTTGTCATACAAAGAAAGTTCCGATTTTGATCCTCTCTTTATAAGGACCAATTTTTACTTCATCATCAGAATTTCATCTTTCATCTGGTATTAATTAAAGTGGCCATAATGAAAATATAGGACTTTCGGTAGCTCACCTCAGGTTTCAGGTCACGGTGAACTACACCTTGGAGGTGGCAATATGCAACAACACTTAAAATTTGCACCATAATAAGCCTGGCATCTTCTTCTGCATATTTTCCACCTCTGATTGGAAGAAAAAGGAACTTTTTATTTTCTTTTTAGTTAAAAATGTTGCATAAATGAAGTGAAGGTAAACAACAGAAAAAAATTAACCACACTTGGAGAGTATCCGATCCAGTAGTTCTCCTCCTTTGCATAACCTGGATTTCGAAGAAAAAATTATAGATATAAGATTCACCACTCTAAAACCACTTAATCCATGTGGGACAATACAGATTCAAAAAAATAAAAAACAAACATTTTTTTACGAATTCCACAACTTTGATGATCAAGAACTGTTCTATTTAACATTTTGAAACATACATACTTGGCCGGTCAACAAATATCAGCAAAATCTTATCATTGACAAGAAGGAAATATCGACATGTGAAAAAAAAAAAGGAAATTGTAGCCCGGGTCTTTACTTCAAGGTCGTATCGAAAGACAAAAACAAGCAGATGCCATATGTCACAACAATGATAAATCCAAACAATGTTGCAACAACTGAAGTTATTAATTCAAACTTACTCCATAACTGTATAAACATTATCTTCATCCTCACAAGCATCATAGAATTGTACAAGTTTCTGTGTCCGGTAAGTGCACGAAGTATCTTCACTTCTCGTCTAACATCCTCTATGGAGATTGCTGTTGTTAACTGAACAAAACTTCTAAACATTAAAACAGGCAAGCACAAATATGTAAATCCAGCAAGAAAGATGAACTTTTACTACTTTAGGCCATTTATGAACCAGACCTTTGATTTAGGGATATCCTTAACAGCCACATCCTTCCCTCTCAAGCTCCCCTTCTTCCCTTTCGCCGAGCAAGTGTACCCGAAATGCCCCCGGCCCACTTCTTCCCCCATTTCAAAATGCCCAACAAAATTCCTACAGAACCCAAAATTCTTGTCCAGCCCAATAATCGACTCACACTCGGTCCCTTCCGGTATGGTGGCCTCGCTGGGCCTGACCGGGCCGTGTCGCCTCGCGAGCAAGGACCTTATGTGCTTTGCCGGCGACGGTGGCGGGAAAGGGCGCTTCAGAAAGCGCAGAGGGGTCGAGAGGACGCCGTTAGAGTTTGCGGGCGAGTTCTTGAACGCGCTAGGGAGTGGACTAGGGCTGTAAAAGGGGAATTTGGGGCGTTTTTTTTCCGTTGGAGGTAGTTTGCGTTTGGTCGTTTGTTTCGCCGGAGATTATTGGGTTTTGCGGCGGCTGCCCGGTCGGTTTCCCGTGGCATAGTCCCATGGAATCAGATTACAAAATAATGAAAAAAAAAATAAAAAATTAATCGAGGATCGAAAAAAGTTCAAAAGATTAAAAAGGGTTGAAAATTAACGAGCTGTAATCAAACTGGAGACGAAAAAACACGGGAATTTTCGAACCATTTGAATTGAAGAGGAAAGCTGGAGGCTTCAAGAACAAGTGTAACCCAGAAACTAACAAGAAAGATCGAATTTTTAGGCTTAACCAGCAGAGCCCAGAAAGGGGAACAAGAGAATAATGCTATACGTATGAACTGTAAAGATCTTGGAATAAGAAAAGACAGCAAAGGGATTGTACTTTTCTGTGATAAAACCAATGGGGGAGAGAATGATTTGCAGACATATGATTTAATTCAACATCTTAGCTGGGTAGAATAACAGCTTCAGATGGGAA